TAGTGTACACTTAAATTTATGATAAATTATAGAACCGTCATCTTACCCAATTACTTTGTTTTGGTTTCAATCGGGCGAGGGCGCGTATCTAACTCATCCAGGGAGCTGTCCAGCAGTCCAAACGTGGTTTGGATCCTACAATGTAGGTGCTATATCGGTTCTCAATATTCTTAATGTAGTATAACACTATCATGGAATCTGTATGGAAATTTACTTTGCAGAAAAAATTAGGCAGACTTCTCCGTAATACTTCACTAAACCTCACACTTAACACCACTGCCGCCATCTCGAGTCTCGGTATAGTGACTTGTCTGATAGGTGCTACCCTAGACTTGCTGTACAACAAAATACAATATGGTGGCTCCTTCAAATAGCTGACTCGTGCGTTCGCAACTGCTCCATAAGCAACCTCTGAAGCATCACTGAACAAGTGCAATTCCACTTTTGCGTCGGGTGCGTTGATTCTCCTCTTGATACCTCGAGCTACCGTGACGTGACCTATCTGACGCATAAAACTTACCCAGCTTAGCCATGCGGTCATGTATGGCTCGTTCAGAGGCTGATCCCAGCCTATTTGGGACTTACGTAATTTTCGCAAGAGGAGTTTTTCAGTAAGACAGACTGAAGCAATTAGACCCAGAGGATCGAATAGAGAAGAAACTATAGATAGAATACCTCTCCTAGTCAGAGGCCTTTCCGGTGTATCAAAGTAAAACCTAAATACATCTTGTTTAAAATCCCATTCTACACCTAGGGTTCGATGAGTAGTGGCGTAATTCGTTGACATTTCTATCAAGGACTGCTCTTTACATACATCAGGGGAGATGGTCCTTACCTCCTCCGAGTTGGTAACCCATTTCTTTAGTTTGAAATCTCCTCTACATAATAATTCACTTATCTGCTTAACGAAACTCTTTGCTTGATCACAAGTGGAAAAAGATATCAAGCAATCATCAACATAGAAATTATTCTTAACAGCATCTACGACATAACCATCAGAGAATATTTGGGCCGTCTTATTCAAGGCAAAGTTCGCGCAAAACGGCGATGATATGGCACTAAATGGATGAGATGTCATTTGAAACTCAGATGGTTCTCTCGACATATCTCGCTCCTGCCACCACAGAAATCTTGAAGCTCCTCGATCAGACTCAGAGACCTTCACTTGCATGAACATTTCTTCAACATCCGCAGAGATTGCGACTGCTTCTTTGCGAAAACGCAATAATATACACACTAACTCAGCAGTTGTGTCAGGTCATTGATAAATCATATCATTTAGAGAAACGCCTGCAAACTTGGCGGCACAGTCAAGGACCACTCTCAGTTTTTCTGGCTTTTTCGAGTTTATAACTGCATGGTGAGGTAAGTACCACCGGGGGCGATAACTAGGTTGCAATTGCATTTCAGGGATCTTCTCCGCATAGCCCTTAATAAAATTACTTTCAATACCTTTTGTATACTTGATATACAGAATGTCATCTTTTAACAATCTACGCTTCAAACTCTGTAGTCTACTGCTTGCCACTTCATAATTCCCCCCTTTCATATTTGGGTTCACTTTCCATGGTATAGGAACTACAAAATGACCATTTTCGAAGCGTGTGCCCTCTTCCACAATCCTTATAGCCGCCCTGTCTTCTAGTGATACTGATTTATCATTTGAATAAACATCAGAAAACTCTACATCATAAAGTTTACGTATTTCGTTCTCCAAAGTCTGTAATTTACTGGTATGATTAACAACTCTTTTCCTATATTCCGAATATGACGCAGGTCCGAAAACCGTCCACCCCAGCAACGTTTTCACAGCGTACGGGGTCTTCCTTCCACCCAACCGTTGGTCTAACACCCAATGTGCTTCTGGTACGTCGCAACCAATCAACAGTAAAACTTCTTCAGAGTCTAGGCTATCTATTGGCACATCACTTAAATGCGGCCACTTAACTAGGTTGTTCATTGCTGACTTTGTTGGCTTATGACCTGGTATACTTGCTACAATCAGAGCTCCTTCAATAGTAACATGTTCAGATTGATCTAAAGAATATACCTCAAAAGGCGCACTCGTGACCTTCATTGTTCTATTACCGCCCACAGTCTCAACTACCACTGATGCTTGGTCTTCGGTCAGCCCGAGAGACCTCAAACAGTTTGATTTTATCAGTGTCACATCAGAACCGTTGTCCAACAGAGCATAACCCACAATCTCGGCTTTTCGCGATTTCAACCGTACGGGAATCATGCCTAAACACACTTGACTGATTAGTGATTTAGTGTATCCGCAACAATTCGAGATACCAGGTTTATCACTTTCGCTGTGCAACAAAGAATGGTGTTTCTTTTCACAACCATCAACGTTACAGAGCCTTGTCACCTTACATTCATTAACCTTATGTCCTTGTCTAAGACAAACAAAACAAATACCCTTGCTTTTAGCGTGAGACCATCGGTCTTGAACTGTAAGCGCTAAGAACTGTGGACATTTATCAATAGCATGGTCGTAGGAACACATACTGCATTTAGTTTTCGTTGTCGAACTATTCCCTTGCGCCGATTGCACGTGACAGTTCGTCTTTACGTTATGTCCTTTTCTTGAACGATTTGCTAACCGTCCAAATCTACTACAAGCCACTCTCGCACGCGATGCGATAAACTGAGTGAGCTCGTTAAAGGTCGGTTCCCTGTTATCTTCAGTCAATTTATCCACCCAGTCCGCCCACTGGGTTTGCATAGGTTGCGGCAAGAGTCTCACTATTCTTTCCAAGGTAACTAAGGAATTTAGATCAGAAGTATAATTCATCTGTTCCAAGACCATGGCACAGTTTTCCATTTTAATAGCCAAGTTTGTTAGTTGCTCTCCGTCAGTATAATCAAAATTCACAGCACTGAATAAGTCCTCTAGTGTTTCTCTAGCAATTACGTGAGACTGTCCGAACAACCGTTTTAGAATTTCTTTGGCCTTCTTGTAACCAGAATAGGCTTCCAACATAATACAACCCTCAATGCCTGTTTTCGCTTTACCCTTACAATAATGTATCAAATAAAGCAAGCGTTGACCATCATCCTTGACCCTTGATTCTACATAGGTCTCAAACTCCCTTGAAAATCTCCAATAACCTCTTGGTTGACCGTCGAAATAACTTAGCTCAACCTTTAGTAACTCTGGACCTACGAAAGGCGCCGTAAGCATCGCGCTTTTCGCCTATGCCATCTGTCATTATATCACAACTAGATTCACTATAATTACAATCGTCCCTATTAGAATCTGAACCATGACACATAAAAGCATCATAAGGCACTTGCTTTGATTGAGGGGATCCATGCTTTTGTTCATCTCTTTTAGCTTCCACGAGCCTTGGACTTAATTTCCTTCGACGATTGTTTGGCATCGCAAGCGAACGACCAAATATTCCCGGAGACAATAATTGAAATCAGCGAAACGAAAACCAAACGAATTCGACCAAAATATTTGTTTAGAACTGTAAGATCCAAACTACGTTTAGACTGCTGGACAGCTCCCTGGATGAGTTAGATACGCGCCCTCGCCCGATTGAAACCAAAACAAAGTAATTGGGTAAGATGACGGTTCTATAATTTATCATAAATTTAAGTGTACACTATTACCTAAACAAATATAACCACTCAGCTATCCAACCAATAATTGTTCAATTGATCAAATCTAAACTACAATAAATAAGAAAGTTGATAAACGATGCAAGAAAGTTACCAATCACCACAAATAAATGTTATTCTATCCTGTCTGGATAGATCACGTACAGATTCGTTCAAAAGGTAATAATTGGTCGCTCTATAACACAGAGTGTTTCTTAATTCTGGAAGAGTGCTTCTATTCACAACCAAAATGCACAATTCCAGTCAACACAGGTCAAGCAATCAAAAGCAGGAACCAACCAAAATGGCTGCCGCCCAGACTTAGTATAAAGTAAAACAACATAAGTGCAGTTCGGGAAAAAACATGGGGAATTAGTGAAGGTGTAGTAAAAGCGAAAACTATAATAAAATATAAATATTAACAATTCAAATGTAGTCAAAAAGTTAACAATGTACAACTAAGAGAATCAACAGGAACAAAGTGCAAGTATAAACATGGAGGGATTTTCACAAACACACAAAGCATTCAAAATGGATCTTACAAACACTATGAGATCATTATCCCTCTTTTGCATACATTCGAGTAGCAGACGTGACATCATTTCTCAAGGACTGTTGCAAATATAGTACTACATGCAGTTAGTGTCTGTTGGTTAGTGCTTTGGCGTAGTTCAACAGGAAGTGTTCAAGATTGTAATCAATTTTCAATTTCTCACGCCTTGGCATTCATTTATAGCATCAAAGTAGGAAGTACATTTTGGTGGACGACAAGTAGAAGATGCAAGTTGTCTGCATCCCAAGCAAATGGCTGGTGAAGAAGGATCATTATGGTTTATCACGATAATGTTATTGAGCATGATATTGTTCAGGTTGTTGATGTTGATAGTCGATTCACGCTGCGAAAATGCACCGTCATACATGGTTGTGGTAAGTTGTAATCAATTAACATTTATTGTTTTCAGACGACTACAATGTAGCCCAGGAATTAAAAGTGTGTTTAACAACGGTACTGGGCTACAATACAAACATCACGATTAACAATGAAACGCAGTCTTGTCACGCTGACAAGCCGAAAAGGTAAATTGTTCAACTTATTATATCACTTGTGTTAAGACTGTAAAACGAAAAAATACTGATTATTTATGCACCTTAGAAGAACTAGAGGTTGCTGGGTTTGTCTCGGTGGAATTTCCAGTTGTCAACATTTTGACAGGAAACTTTTCTCCCATTGTGAGGTTTGTACCTACTTATCAATTATCATATAGTAGTTCATCAAAAGCTGACGTTTCATCACCAGAAATTTCACGTACGTCGACGGAAGGTGATAAACCGTAAGTTGCATTTGCTGTATTCCTGATAACAAAAGTTTGTGCGATGATACAAACAAAATGTTAGGAACGCTCCTGAAATCAGTCAGTGAGCCGTCTACGAAAATAGACAAAATCCTATTTTTGTTTGAACGCTTAGTCATGGGTGCAATCGACAGGCCTACAAAGGAAATTGATAGTGATGCTATACATTTCCCATTAAGAACGCATGTGGAGTTGCGTTCTTTAGAGGCTGCTTTAGAAAACCAAAAATACCGAGATCATTTCGTAAGTTGTACAATGTGTTTGGATAAATTTTAGGTTGCAAGATTATGTAACTTAATGTGTGATAATACTCGGAAATCAGCTAAAGCTTGTCTTCAATACCTCCTGTCACCGGAACTCGCGAACACTTACACTTTACACGGAACCATAAGGAAATTCGGGATTAGTGAATACAAATTTTACTCCACGGTTCAAAGTAAGTTCACATTACTGTCTGAACATATTTGTAGGTGCTTTGTGTTCACGTTTCCGAAGTGCAACCTGTCACGAAAAGGATATAATACACGCCATGGCTACAGAAAGCCAGGCCTTCTTGCATGACGGAAGAGATAAAGTGCATAAACGTGGATGGCGATCCAAAGAAAAGGTGAGCTAAGACTACTTAATATGTTTGTTATAATACATATGTTAACTTTGTCCCACATTGTTCCTACTCCTTCCCTTTCTACTCTTTTGTATATTGTTTAATACTACTTAATAAAATTCAGTAGTCAGTTGTATTCCCAATAACTGAAGTGCACTGTGGGGATTTCCCCAAAATTCGCAAGATGTTAATTATCATCGTATTTTTCACTATAATCACTGTACTTTAATTACTGTAACGGTTTATTACTTTGTGATCAATACTCAAAGTGATATAACTTTTCTCTTGCATGTTTCCCTTTCAGCTGGCTTCGCAGGCTTTATCAGACGTGACTGTAAGTTCTTTGTTCGCATTATTAAGAACATTGTCATAATGTTGGTACATCATCGACCTTTCACATATCTTAACATGTTATTATACAATACTAATGACTTTTTTTTATTTTTCAGAATGCTGTCAATGACAGTTCTACAACGGAATCAAAAACTTTGTATACATGGATTATTTGTAAATTTATTAACTGTAATAAACATTTATATACGTCATAAATCAGTCTTTTAAAAATAACGACAAATCGGTTAACATTACGTTTGTTTGGCAATGCGCGATTAACGAAAAGAAGTAAAACATCCCAGTAAGAAACGTACATAAGCATTCGTCCTAGGTCTTCCGTGATGTCGATAGGTTTTCGTGAAGCTTTTGCGTGAGAACAGTTTTCCAGGAAAACCTATGCGTTTGGGAAAGCTTCCCCAAAGTAATATCACTTTTATCTGGTCCGTTTCCCTTTCACCTGGCTTCGCAGGCTTTATCAGACGTAATCGTTACTTATTTGTTCTTTTGTATATTGTTTTATGCTACTTACTAAAATTCAGTAGTCAGTTGTATTCCCAATAACTTCAGTTGACTTTGGGGATTTCCCCAAAATTTGGGGAAGCTTCCCCAACTTCCGGGGAAATTTAGAGTTTTTGCTCATTTCCCCAAAATTTACTATAGCGGCTTCCCCAAAATGGACCAAATTTTCCCCAAAGTTGGCAGCTTGGGAAGTCCAAGGAAATGTTCAGAAGTATTTAAAATGGTCACCAGTAAGGTCCCTGTACTCTAATTGGTAAAAGTTCAGTGATTGGAGGCGCTCTTCATAAACTTTAGTTTGAATCCCCGAAATGGTTTCGTGGCACGCCGTTGGATACGTTCCAGAGTGTTCTTATCCTTCGGAGTGATGGAAGAATTCCTGCGGAAACATAGTATTTAAATAATTTGTTTTCGTACTCCGGATGATGACGAATGAAAGTGTCGGAGATTGTGTGGAGGGGCCGTTCGTCGAACTGGCTGAAAATTAGCACCAATATTATCAGTGAAAGGTTTGTTCGAAAATCACTTTGTTGCAGTTAGCGTAAAACTTCAGACCATAGGGTACCAACACTACTAAATCTTTTTGAACTTGCGATAGTTACAGAGGAGTTGCCTAAGTTGTGTTTATAGTCTGCAACATGTCTCAGATGGACTAATTTATACATAGAAGTGTTAAAGGTAAGTCCATTGTTGTCTGTTATTGCGCTACCTGTTGAAGGATTTTATTGTTGCAACATAGAACACTATCAAACTAAAGTGCATAGTTGCGAAGATAGTAGGCAGAATAATAAAATGAATGTAAATACTGTCAATAGACTTACATCTAGGAATAATAGATAGACTTAGGGGAGTAGAGATTTGCTAATAATAATTATGTCAATAGTAATAAAAATTCAGACTGCTGTAATAGTAATAAAATAGTTATAGACATGTGCCAGGTACACCTGTTCCTGGTCCACGACTCCACACATCGACTCACAGCTCATGTCCAGTATTCTGCACCTCACCTCAAAATTGTTCACCGGGTCGTTCCACGAAAGGCATGCATTTGAAGATGGCACAGGTATTCAGTGTTTGACAACCCTTTACCAGTAACACCTTCTAATATAACTCGTACCCACCAAGAGAAATCAAAAGACAGAATCGAGGAGATCAGAAGTTGTATTTGACGATTGTCAATATATCGTAGTTGTCTGATCTAGTCTGGCTAGCGATTGTAGTAGATGTTGAGCACGGCGTTCCCACACGTGATCTGGTGCGGATGCATGACCGAGCGCCTTCAGCTAGGTGAGTCCATTAAAACATGGTCAGCATCCAATGTCGAAAACTTACAGAGCTATTTATTTTGGGGATTTATTTACCGCTACACATTGCTTCGAAGATATCTGAAGTCAAATACATGTAAACTTTGTGTGTCCCCTCTTGTTAGTATAAGCACCTATCACATATGTTTCCCGTATTGCAGAAACTTTGTCAGTTTCTTATAAACTATTAATTTTATTTCAAAGTACGCGTTAAAGATCGACTAAACTCTCGTTTAACATTCGTCGTATTTACTTTTTAGCAATGTTAGTTTTATATTTAGAGAAGAGGTAAAAAAGAGTGACTGTACAACTATCACTTATTATGTATTTGTACTATATACTGTTGGTACCATCCACACTTATTGTAGCTGTCATACTTTGTGTCGTTGCTTGGTTCGCCAAAATGTCGTTTATACATAACTAGAAATTGGATTCCATCACAAATGTCAGTTATATCCATCTTCCTTATGTTGGTATATGCATAACGTAATATTCAACTTTTGTTTCGTATACTTATTTTCATATAATTGTCTAATGTGTTTGAACTACATTTGTCATTTGTGATTGTTTCAAAATACACACCTTTTTCAAACAGAGTGTATTCGTTTCTCTCATCGACTTGCACTGTTTGGCTAGTAATTTTTCTAAATGTTAACGAAGATACATATGCATATACTGCTTATGCACGGAAAATTTCAATGAGTGCAAGGGTGTGTCTCATTTCCCGCATAATATGTTGATCTTATGAAAACATTAGGCTTTTGAACTCTTACCACTAACTATTATATCGTATTTTGCAGACTGGTTGGAGAACAGAAATCCTGATGAACTGATCCGTTCACTTAAATCATCACATTCGCAGAACAGACCAACAGGACAAAAGTAACAACGAAGTAACAAGTATGGTAAAAGATCACAGGACGAAGGAAAGAATGCCACTCACTTTAAATCCCTATTGTCGAAAGATCGCCAGCTGTCAGTTTTACTGCTCAATTTCTCAACCTGAATACTTTACATAAGTATAAATGATCATGAGAGGGATTAGTTGCCGTATTTATTTGGGCATGACATAGCAAGAATGTTATAATGTCCTGTGCCAGTGTTTCCTTACATATGGAAATTTTCAATAGGTCTTAGTTTATTAAGATGTCAATCGTCTATCTCTTAATTATCCTTCAGTGACTGAATATGATATGCATCTGTTTTACCAGCCAAAAATGTGTACATCTTTTCGGTTCAATTTAAAAAGATCATCAATATACGTTGGAAACTGACGAAAGATTAGTGGTCCTTGCAGTTTTCCCTGCTCATCTGAGACACATTCATGATTGAATGTGTCTTATACGTTTTTGTTTTTCAGAATCATGTCATTCATTTCTTGATTCTAACTCTAATAAGTTGTACTGAATTAATCTAGTAGAACTGTGTTACCATTGAATAAAGTCATATCACAGCGCTAGTCGCTCATTAACTTTTCTCTTTAGGTAGAGATATTGTCAAAATTCCAGTTAAATGTGAATATGTCGTAACACAGTCATTCGTATTGTAGTCCCTATTTACAAAAGTTTGAAAACAATTTTTTTCTACAAAATACGTTTCAATTATGTACTGAGTTAAAAGATGAATATTATGTCTAAGAGAGTATAAAGGCCACATTGGACTGTAAGTATTGTATATAATGAGGCGGAGTGTTTTTGAGGATTGTGTTAATCGTTTATCACTAGCTTCTGTAGCTGTCTGAAAATCTATCCGAGCAATCTCAATTAATTGCGTCGATCGGTTTACAATCTGGTACGATTAATGTTCCATATAATTGCCTTGAGTCCTCTTGAAGCTGATGAGTTTACCATGTGGTAGTATACAACTACACAAGAATGAATGCCTGAGGCACCAACGACACACAGCCACCCATATTCTCCGAACATCCAAAATAGAACAGATGAATAATCGGGGTATTTCATATGGAATATGTTGTAAAAATGCTCATTTAATATGTCCTTCATAGTCTTATCTTCAAGTGAAATATAGTTGCATACAGACTGGTCAATTCTGCTGTCATCATATTTGATAGTCCTAATGGCATCCACATATTTAAAGTTAGTAGTTCGGACCGCTCTCGAGAGATACATATCGCGTGCATGAATTTCATCCTAACACCTCATACAAATTTCCTTTAGATTTCCTCTAACCGAAGTGTGAAGTTCTTTTGAAGCTTAGTCTCCTTCCTTATATACAGACTGAATTTATACGACGTAAGGCTTTCTTTTACGAGTACACATTTTCTAAAAGAAAAAAAGTAACATTTGATTAGTTGTAAATAAAATATAAACAATCGCAGTTAGACACTATAAAGATATGTGATTAACCATTGCCGTGTGTGAAATCACATTCGACACATCACGAGTGCTATCAGACCAAACAAGAGGAAGGTCTATCTGTCAAAACACAATGCTGAGTTCGACAGCTAACTAAAACCTCTAGATTTAAGAAAAGTCGGTCTCTGATATCCAATCCTACTACATAGTACGTTTTAATCGTAAGGGGGAAAGCGTCAGGTTTTGTGTAATGTTTTGGCAACTGAGTGCTTATTGATCTTTCCAAAATCTAGAGCTGGCTTGTATTTTTGCTCAGAATTTACAGGTTTAAAATTCCCAACTTCTACTTCATGAAGAATTGTCCCTTTAAGCCCAAGCTCAAAGGGATCAGTAGTATGTTACTGGACACAGAAAAGTTTGGAAAGATCCGACATTCTAGTGGTACGCTAGGTGAGAGAGGCAAACCAGGTGTTTTGGTCCCATTTAGTTTGCTTAAGTATGTGACTAAATGCTAAATATTCTGAGGTACCGAATAGGGTTACTGAACAAGTTAGCCTTCAACTATTGACCGTGCTAATCATGGAGAGAAGTGTTCTACATTCGATTCGATTAACAGTTTTGTTACCGCAGCTTTTTCGTATCATAATTTCTTGAAATTCTGTGTGTAAGTTCTAAGATAAGTAGTTATTTGTTGATTACTTCAGAGGCACATGTTGACAACAAGATTACATTCATGGCAGCTGAATGCGTTTTCATTATACTTTTAGAAAGAACGGACGAGACAGAAAGGAAAGAGGAATGGTATCGTTTTGATAACCTCCATAAATATACGGGAAACTTCATGGTTTGTCTACACAAAAAGTGAACTGTCGGTCATCGCTTAGTTTTATGGGATTCTTGTTAGGAATAATCGGGTTTAAGGACTAGCTGCTTGTGACTGTTCAGGTGGGTTGTATAATCGATGATCGGAAATTGTAACAGGAGCTATCTGTCACGCCATCACCGTTAAGTAAGTGTGCAATATACACCACTTCCTGGCTCTTTTCCGTCTATAATATGCAAAAATGCTGCATATTAGAG